GACCAGTATATGAGCTGCACTTAAAACTTTAGAACCCTTTTTCTCGGAATCTTCTGGCTAGTGCGCTTTACAATTCTTCTGGGTGGACACCCTTGAGGTATTCTACTAACCTGCAAAGTCTCATCCTGAACTGAATTTCCGAGACCTTAAAGTTCCCTTGTAAGTAAGAATTATTTCTTTCTAAAATTTTAAAAATACATTTTATTTTCATATTTGATATTAACATTAATTATTTTTAAGAAAATATTTGTTTTACAAATAATGTTACCTGTTGGTATGCAAATTAGTTCATTGGTAAAGCGTTTCAGGTCAGACATACTGAGGAGAATGATGTATTTGTTCACTTATTTTATATTCACTTTACTTTCTGTAAAGATTATTAAACAGATTAAATGAGTGTTACAGACATTTAAAATGCATATCCTTACTGTAAAATCCCAAAGTCATTACATCAGGTCATGCATTGGTTCTGTCCTCCATTTTAGAAGAACAAATAAAGAAGAAATCACTAACAGTTCAGTCCTCCCCAATTGGAATTTTTAAAAAATTGTTCACTGTTCACTACATTCAATTTGTATAAGAATGAAAATTTTGTTTGTAGTCAGTGGGAATATGGTATACTATATCCCAATAATTTTTCATAAAAGTAATAATATGTAATTATGCTAAGTGTGTTGAAAACAAGTTGGAATCATGATAAATCAATTTTTAGATGCATTTTTTTGTGCAGACTAATACATAGATTGACAAAACCAATCTTTGATCTGTGCATTTGTTTAGATTTGAGGTTTTCATGCTTAAGGATTTATTGTCATTTAAGTTTTGTCTGCAATTTTTAAATGTAAATTGTTATTCTAAGTGAAAGAAAGTAAATAAAAGTCCTTTAAACTGTCATTCAAGTAGTAGTAAATGTTGTAATGTAACAAAATTAACAAAAAGTATTTAATTATAAGATTTTAGGATAATCAGTTTGGTTAATTTTGATATCAATTTTTTCAATAGTGTGTTTTAATGTAACAAAATTAACAAAAAAGTATTTAATTGTATTTTATAAATATTTGTTTGGTTATTTTCAAATAAAATTTGATATTGAATTTTTGAATACATGATTTCTTAAATCTGATGTGAAATGGTGCTGTATGATATGATGTGATACATCATCAGCACCATTTCAAACATGCAAGTGGGGATAAAATGAGAAAGTACCAATGATATTTATATAACTAAAAATTACAATTTTGTAAATAAAATTTAAAAAAAATTAATTAATGTTTTGTTATGAATTTACATTACGTTAGTTTTTAATATCTCTATTTCATAAAAAGTAAAACATCTGGATACGAGTCCAATTTTTCTTGCCATGTCTAATCACCAGGAACAACTATTTCCATTGCAGAGACAACCTTTCTTTAGAGGCTATGCCTCTGCACAAATATGTAAAACAGTTTAAAATGTCCACAGGTGACAATCCCAACACAATTAAAAATATAATATTTGTTTGTAGAAATGGGCTGGCAGAATTACATTTTAATAAAATATAAAATT